ACTTGAAGAAGAAAGTTTATTCCCAAGGAAGACTTCTGTTATGTAGACTCAACAACTCAAGGTCAAGCCCTAGGGCTTTTTTAAAGGCAATGGCAAAATTCCCTGAGATTTCAACAAAGCTAGGATTTCTCCTGAGAAACTTGTAATGAGACATTAGAAAATCAGATAAAAAATAAACTTGTAAGGAAAAGTCTCAATGGAATTTATTCGTATTGGCACATAAAAATTAACCTGTTCGATTCTGTTCAAAGCCTGAAATTAAATGAAACCTTGTCTCTTGTAAGTATGTGTCCATGAAGTAGGACGTACCACATAACTCAATATTCCCATCAGAAACCAAGGTCTACACGGTCTAGAAGAGGAACTGCAAAGTCAGGTTAAAGGCAGATGTATGACATGGGCTGTCGCTGCACACACCTTGTGGGCAATCCGGAGACTATTCCAGACCCCAGGATTTCAACCTGGAAGCTTTATCAAGCCTGACTGACATTCACCAAATAGTTTTAGAAATACAAAATGACTATGTCACTACGAACTAAGGGACTGATTTCGTATTTGATCCTCGGTAAAAAGGGTAAAATTCTGGAGCTGTTGAGTAAAATCTTAGAATAAATTATTAATCTTCATGTGTTAAAAAATGAATGTGGACCTGCAACATGCAACACCTCAAAGCCACTGATACCACGAACCCTTACTCCATAATCATAAAGAGAAGCTACTTGGCAATAACTAGAGAACTTCAAAATGTGTTGTCCACATATAGACACAGAAATGCACCTGCCACGAGCATGTCAGTTCAGTTGTTTTTTCACTATGAACGCCCTTGAAAAATCGGTCAGCTTCATTCATTAGACAGTGGTGGACAGGAATTACTAATGGTCTTTTGTGCATGGAGATAAACTTCTGGAAATACAGATCCTTGTTGTTGAAAGGACAGGACTTGCCTCATGTCTCTAACGTGTCACATCTACAAGTAAGGTTTGGGGAGGAAAAAAATTAGGTAGATCTAGTGGTATTACTATAAACATCAAGTTTGTACCTAAGGAAATCCACACCGTTGTCATACGCGTGTCAAGAACAGCCTACGGAGAGAGGATCCGTTCCCAGTCTAACCAACTTTAGCCATTGCACTGGCACAAGGCAGAGCAGGCAGGTTTAAATGGGGGAAGGAGGTGCTTATCAGGCTGTGGGGACTACCTGGAGCTCACGTCTGAGCACCTGAAGGAGTAACTTAGATGCCTGAGGAACTGTGGCAATGCTGGGCTAATAAAAAAGAGTGAACAGAAACAATAACTATACGTACATTAGAGTAGAAAGAAATGGTACAACGTTCAGCTCTATGAAAGACCAGTCTCACAAAGGGAGATGAGATACCTCAGATAAGATGAACTAGAAGCCTCTGCACACTGAGCACAGGTATGTCCACCTGGCTGAGTTGTCCAGCTCTCAGCAAGAATGTCTCCGAGAGATGAACAGATCTCTAACACTAGGAGACATCCAGCAACCAAGTATGCAGATGTAGCTGGAGCATCTGTCTTGCCTCCATCTGAGGTATGGGAGGGGAGAAAATCTCAACAAAAGAAAATACAAAGACAAGGCTCCGACTTGTCCCATGGATAAGAAAACAAACTGAAAAAAGCTATCCCACTGAAAAAGCCAACAAATAAGGAGAGAACAAGTTTCTAAGAGCAACTGTTTAAGGCAGACGAAGACTGGCTGAAACGACAAAATTATCTCCAGACCAGGCCATCAGGAAGAACTGTGAAGTGGTAAGTGCACCATGCCTGCCCCGCCTCACACACTCCTTGGGAAGAAAACCCGATAGACATGTCTTAGACGGGTACTGGCAATACACAAAAGATGTGACCCTGAATGGTTGAGTACACACTCAACAAAGAACAGAAGATGATGAGATTATGCATATTCCTTTACTTAAAATCTATAGCTGTTTGTATTTTGAAACCTCCTGCATATCTTATTTACTCCTTATGATGACTTTTGTGCAAACATTAGAATAAGGGCTATTAAAATGTCATTAAAACATGAATAAATCTAACCATCACCAAGGTCACTGAGAGCACGACTCAATACTCGAGTACGCTGTGTTCTGCAATCACCAGGACTCAGTTGTATTTAAGAGACCTGCTGACAGACCTACGACACCCTTAATTGATTTTATTTTTTTTTCCCTGCAGAGACCCTATGCCAGGATGTGCAGCTACACCAACAGGAAAAGCGATCTTGTCAGCACAGCTTATTCTGTTCAGAGAGCTATTTCAGCCACCTAAGAGAAGAAACATCTCGCTGACCTAAGTTCCTTCTTTGCTAGGGAAGTTTGCCATTACAGCTGTACCTAGTAAGTCCCAGGAAAGACTCTGGATACAAAGGTGGTCCATATAACAGAGTTTAAATTTGAGGGAAAAGCAGAATTTTCCTAAGCCGCAAACCTATTTGAGTAAACCAAATCTGCCTGCTCCCTTTTAAATATTAAATACCATTACATTTGACCATCTAGAAAAGACAGTGGGAAAAACTGCTATTCTTCAACAGAAACATTACAATACTCAGATTAATAATTCTTTGAAATATAACAATGCATTTTTAAAATTATATTGTCATATCTCCAAGCTGGTCCCTAGAGGGCCACATCAACATTTCTGTGGGACAATTCCTTAGTGATTTCTCAAGAATACTACTGATAGTTTCTGCACTATATTTAAATAAGAGCAAAAATATTTTAAGGAAATCCAAGCAAATTTGAAAGTTCAGTCAGTACGTATTTAAATATTTCTCGGGTTACAGAAGAATGGTACAGCACTAGCTCACTGCTAACAGAACTCACTAGCTCAGACTTCACACCATATGAAAGTAGCCCAGCTGAGATCTGTGTAACGGTATTTGCACAATGCTGCGCTCGAGCTAACAAGCCGTGCTGGTTTTGAGCAGGCTCTGGACTTTAAGCAGGATTTTTCCTGAAGTTTCCAAATGCGTATGTTTTAATATCACAAAAAAGTGGCAAATACCAGCACAAAAATGATACACAAACTAGCTTATTTGAAATACTCAGAGAATTTAAAAAAAAAATAATTCAACATATTCTTCATTCACCAACAGGCGGATTTTGTTAATTAAGCACCAGTAGATCTGCTTCACAGCAAACAGACTATTTCGTAGACAAAAGTTTAACGATGACGTACAGATGACCTGGTGCACATCTGCTCATCTGACTGCCACTGGCTGACCTTTGCCAGTGTACTTTTCAAAGGAAAATTCTGTTCACACAGCCACAATTTGATGTGGATGGAAATATTTTTACTCCACAACATTGAAATCTGAGAAGACAGCCTAGTGACATATCAGCAAACAATGAGAAAAACTTAATCATCACATCAAATGCTTCCAACTAGAACCTGATCTTAGCACTGCTTTTGCACGTACCACTGATTTTCAGCAATCATCTTGCACTTACCACACTCAGCTATGTAACTCTAAATGGAAGCACACCTGGTGTGATAAGCTAATATCTCTATAATTTTTGAAAATCCAGAAAGTTTTAATACGCAGCCAGAATCTTAATTTTATAGGCCATCTGGATTTAGTCTATGCTACTTCTTCAAAATTGAGATTTTTGTCTGTATTCAAACAAAAAAAGAAAAAAACACAAAACTTTCAAAGGATCATTTTAATGATTTAGATATGCCTAATCGAAAGAATGTTCAGTTCAATCTAAATGCAGAAGTTTTTGACATCACAGCCATACCAGCCAGAGGCACTTAAAAAAAAATAAAAAAAATAAAAAAATCAATGTGTTACCAAAAATGTACGCACAGATGTAATTTAGCTAAAAAGAAAACCTCAAGAATGGTGCATACTGTATTTTGCCCAGGTACCATAACAAGCTACCCAGGGAAAACATTTTAACTTTCCAATCCAAGCTGTACCTTCATTACCAAAGTTTGTGAATTCTTCTGTAAGAACACAACTGTGTTGATCAAATCTTAAGTGCAAACTGGTCCCACACACTAGCTACAGGCTATTAAGAGTCTGCCTCAGCCAGGCTTCTGGATGCACGTTTTTATACTGAGAAAACTACAAATAACGCCTAGAGAAAAAATAGTAAGTGAAGGGACAAGGCTTGTTATGTCAAAGGAGCACCTTTTACATCAAGGTATGTTCCCAAACCCACTGATGTCATGGGTTGATAGAAAAGTTGGTTTAATCACAGTGCCCCAGGATGAAAAGCTGAGGGAGTAAAAATGGTGGTAATTTTCTCTGGGGAGAGCGGCCAAAAAAACGGGGTGTGCGTGTGAGGGGAGACACCAGGAACCTTTACTGTGTTTACATGTGAAAAAGAGAGAGAATTTTCACTGTCAGATAGGTGTATATACTAGCATTCAGTTCTCAGCCTGCTGCTGATAGTTTTCAGCTTAATGTGTGTTTTGATACATATCTTGTTTCTCAGAATTGGATGAGAGCTGGCTCGCTGGGAGCCAGGACATGCGTATTTACCATAGGATAGATCACTTGCTAATGCTAGAATCTTTTCCCGATCCTTTCTATGGCTACTTTTACTTAACTGATAAATAGTTTAAATATAAGTTAAAGATGACTACAGCAGACACGTTTTCGTATTTTATAAAACTCGAGGAAGTTCTATAATCGAGCCCAGTATGCCTGCACTGACTCCCAGCCAGTGGCAGTTATCAAACGTCAGCACCTGCAGTGGAAGGGGAACACCTACCAAACCTAATATTTTAGCTCACCCTAGCACTCTTACTATCACACACTGGCTGGTTGGTAATGTGCTGGTTGTTTGTAGGTTAAATAGAAAGGTATTTAAAGTACTTAGTACTATAGTAAAGTATTTAAAGAAAGGGTATTTAAAGTACCAATAAATTCAGCTGATGCCTGGAACTCCGAATTCTAAACACAAAGCAGAAGAATAGCAATGCACCTTTGAAATAAAGTAACAAAATTAATAAAAAATAAAAGTTGCTTACACTGCTGACTTGGATCAGAATCCGTGGTCATCTTCACGTAGTTTGAGGGGAAGAGACCTGTCACACCACTGATTTCTCCTTGCCACCAGTCAGCATCATCTTTGCTCAGTACATTAATAAGCTGCCCTTTGGAGAAACTGAGCTCATCTTCATTGTTTGCCATATAATCATACATCGCTATCACTTGACACACTGTGAAGAAAAAACAAATATAGCAGAACACTGTCACACAAGCATTAAGACTGTTTTTGAGTGTTTTACATAACCACAGGAAAGAAACAACAATTTCACATACACCGTTACATAAGAAAAATGCCACATGAACTTATCTTGACGTGGAACTGTCCTCCCTTTTCTGTTACTTTTTTTTAATTGGGCCAGGCGGTAATCTTTTTTCCCCACTTTATATATAGTGAATTGATTCAAGTTAGTATAGCATCCATTCACCTTCTAAACATTTTAAAATACAATCAAGTACGCTTCTATCTCTTTTACTGGCTGGGAACAGAAAGTGAGTTTCATTATCTCATAGCTGATACTTGTGAGAAAAACGTGGCGAAGGCAGAGGAAATGTGCATTAGCTAATCGTGAGCTGCTAGTTTAGTCAAAGGGAAGTTTTGTCCAGTAATACCCAGGAAGCTGTTGTATAAGCAAATCGTAGCTGTGGAGAACAGCACAATTTAAGCATGCAGAACCAAAAAAAGCTCCTTTTCTGTGAAATAATCTCATTTGTACCCGGCCATTCAAATGGAAAAATCTAGTGGAAATTTGCTTAGTCTCCCTCCTTATAAGGCGCAGTGCATGTAATTCCAAGGTGTTTGTCAATGATTCCTAGTTTTCTGTAAGATTTTTGCTAGCATTTGGAAACACAGAGTTTCCAAATGAGAAGAGTGTGGCTCTTAGTGCATTCAGCAAAATTAAAAAGCTCTTGCCATAGAAGGTGGACTGCTGATCCTCAGAGATTTCTGGATATAAACGTCTTCGTATGACAGACCTTCTGTTGTAAGGTATGTAGAGGATTGTATACGCTAGGGAGGGACCCCACAAAGAACTGTTTTGATTAAGAAGTTGTGAGATTTTACCTTTCTTGGACAGAGATAAGAGCTGAACGGACAAGTCTGTCAAAAGACCCAGATTCTGACTAGGGCTTTACCTTCCACAGTGACACCACAATCAGATACGGCCATTAAACATAATATTACGCTCGTTTTGTAATTCAGACTAGTATCTGACCAATTGAAGCAGTTACATAAAATACTCTAAATGAAATATAAAGTCATAATTTTTTTTCACCTGAGGGAGCAGCAGATGCGGTTCTTTCACTGCTCGGACCCAGTAATTTCACATGGCTGGCAGGGAACCATCCTTTCTGTCTCTTTTTCCCTCTTGCCTGTAAATGTTTAAAATGGTTATTACACAATTAAGAAGCCAAATAGCCTATAGACTGGAAAAAACGCAACAAATATGTCACGCAGTTTTGCCAACAAAAGACAAAAAGTCAGGCTTCCAAACACCAACTAAATACTAAACAGATCTCTAAAGGAAAAAATCTGGCTAAAGGATAAAACAACCCAATTCAAATAAAGCTGCACCCTAATATGTGCTGGCAAATGTATTAATCCAAAATTTTCAAGCGCAGCTAATTATTTCAGTGCACAATTTAATTGTAGGGCTGAAAATGTGCTCTACGAACATTCCACTTATGCATCATATATGGAGTCTCTAACGAGATTCCCAGAACAGAGGTAACGATTACCATAAGCTACTTTTGAAAACCCTGACCTATTTGGTATCACTTCCTACCTAGTACAGCACGTGAGGGTTTGAAAAGAATTTCCTCATTTTTTAGTCTTTCCTTTTTTAGTCCCACAGGTAAAGATGATCTCTGCACACACTGAAGAAACAAATATACTTCAGAGTGCACAAAAAAGTCAGGATGTAAAAGCGAGCATAGATTTTAGAAAGCAGTAACTGCAGAGTGAGCTCTATTACAAAAAAAGAAACTCAAACTAACAAGAATTGACAATTACATATCTTAGTTTCCCTTCCCTCACTTTTTTTTTTTTTTTTTTTTAAATTCTTTGAAGCTTCTTCCTGAACCAGCACTGGGCCTACTTTTCTTAAAATACAAATTATTCATTGTTTGCTGTTTGGGTTTTTTTTTTGCACATACTATGAATAAATTTTCCACTGCTGTTAATTCACAGAAACTCAGTGCAGCAATTTCTCAACTTGCTCACTGTGATCTCTCCTCCTGTATCTGTAAAGCAGGCTGGTTTTAAAAAGAGATGCTGAATAGTTAGATCAGCCCTGTTCTAACTGTTGGAGAAGGAAGATGAGTGTTAACAAGAGTATTCACTTGAAACGGAGGGCGTGCAGCTGTAGAATACCTTGGGAAAGGCCAATTAAGTGATATTAAGGGGACAGAACTTTCTGTTGTGCTTTTCAATCCCAGTATTGGAAATAGCATTCAGTTTTGGAAGTAACATGTTTAAATTCAGGCTAATGCTGAAGATTCAGCTAAAATTCAGCTAAAGAAAAGGGTAACAAAGAGACATTATAAGATCATGATTTAACTTTTTGCATTGGTTGCAAAGATGAAGGCTATTATGGACAAGATCCATGGGGCTCCAAGAGTCAAAATATCAACTATGGTTTAAGAAGAAAGCCACGTAACAGTACCCTCAACCCTTGGGACTAGAAATTCGTCACTAGGTGGGGAAAGGAGAAAAGTAGGAACAGCAACCTTCACAATAAACTAGCTTCCAACTCCAACTTCCAAGAATTCCTGTTCTTTCATTAGAATAATTTTACAATTTAATGTTTTACCAATTAAATCCTAACCAATTTATTAACTGTCGACATCCCTCTTCCCCCTCCCATGCACATGTTCATTGACAGTTTTACTATTTTCTGTGACCAAAAAAAACCCCCAAAACAAAAAAACAAACGAAAACCCCAGCAAGCCAAGGGTTAATTAAAAACTTGTTTTTCCCCAAATACGGTTTATACAAGATGAAAATAACTTTCTAGCCAGCTTTTAGAACACTGTACTTAGTTGTTTTCTCGAATTAAACCCAAGATCACCTCCTTGCCATTCATGAAGTCATAATTATTTCTCCTTCAATAATTACCTGCAACTCTCCTTGCCACCATCCACTAGCATTTTTCTTCAGAATAAGTATTAGCTGTCCTGGAGCAAGACTAAGCTGTTCAGTTCCTGAGGCAGCATAGGCAGTAGTAACCTGAGCAATTTCTGAAAAGATAATATATTAATTGCATTTGTTATTTTTTGTCTAGCTCAGTAGGAGCTAGATCCACAGAAATATCCTGGTACATATCTTGCAGCTAAGCACATTAGCCGCCATTAAAACACTGCTATGAACCTAAATGCTCATAGTCACTTAAGAAACAGACCTAAATGTTAAAAAGTTATCACACACTTACCAGGTTTCTTATTTATTGTTCCAGTTTTGCCAGCATTACTAGAAGCCTACAAAGATACAACAATCATCTTTTAATGTGCAATAAAACCAGTAGAGTCTACACCAACTTTAAGCATGCGGACAGAAAAGCACATGAAGATTTTCATTTTGAGCCTGTATTTAACAAAATACCATCCAGTATGGAGCGAGACAGTGTGACACTGTGGCTAGAGCACTGATTTAGCACTCAAACTACCTAGGCTTTTCTTTTCTGTCAAGCACATAAACCTCTGCTTAAAATCACTGTCTAAGAGCTAGATATCAATACCAGTAATACAATAAAATTGAGAGAAAGCATCATGCGTTAATTCTCGGAATACAAACTCACTTCTTGATCTGTCTTTGGTCTGACGTAATTGGAGGGGAAGATTCCAGTTCTGCCATCAATGCTCCCGGTCCACCATTCCCCTTCCTTCTGGGTCACTAGGATTTCCTCACCTTCCGTGAAAATCAGGTCACCGGGCTCAGAGCTTGAATATGAATAGAGCGCAACATACTCTGTGCAAACAGCATATATAAAGAAGACGACAATAGTTTCAGATACGAGAATAAAAGTATGTCAGATGCAAGTAAAGCTATCTTTGATATCAGCGTTCATCAGTGTGCTCATAACATGGATCATGTCCTCACAAGTTTGTGAATCAACCTACCTACTTGCTTGATTGAAATCACATCTCGCCTCATGTGTACAACTCTGAACGACAGGTACACAACTTTGTACAGATAGATGATTTGGCACAGTGAGAGTTACTACACTATGATCATCCTGCGGATCAGCAGAGGCCTGTAGACCACAGCTTGAAAACTCATCTCTTGCATTAAGTACCTCTGTGTTTCACAGCAAGCATGTATATTCCACACCTAAACCTGATTAAAGCCATTCTTATCTGACTAACACAGCAAAAATGAAAAAACAGAAGTGGAATTAAAATATAATTGGGGAAGCATGGAGATACACTAGATTAAAAGGCTTAGAAAGTGCTTCCCACAATTTTTTCTCCAGCAGTATTTGTTTTCTCTACTCCCTGCTGATTAAAAGAGAATGATCCACACTCAGGAGACTAAAAATCCCTTCTCATGTCTCTACAGTACAGCATAAGACAGTAGAGAACAGCAGAAAGAGAACTCGGCTTAGGGGTATGAGACATATTTAAGTTTTCAGAAATAAATTCATGCTCGAGCAAAAGTCTTAGAAACAAAACCAAAACCCATGTCTGTGCTCAACCTGAATTAGTTACAAGCTTTACTTAAGTTCCTGTTTTAGAATTCTCGTAACAGTAGCTCAACATTTGCACTGTATCTTTTGGACAAGCATTAAAAGGCCTGCTCAGAAACGTCACATATTTAAGCTTATTCACATGCCATTAAGCAGAAACAGACTGTATCATTAAGTAGCATATTTCATGCTGTCTTACCCTCTCCTGCTGCGTAAGACTGTGTATTAGGCTTTTTGTTTACAGCTGCATAAATAGCTTCTGGTCTGCAGAAAGAAAAAAAAAGTTTGAGTAACTAAGAAGGCTGATCAAGAACAAATCTCTTTATTAGGATGAGACTAAGCTCACTTTGGTTATCTCAAAGTTGGTATTGCCTCTAAACTAATTGCAAAGACTTTCCTGACTGTCAAACAGTGACAGGTATTACTGATATTTAAGATATGAATGGCATCCAAGAGCACACCACTTACCGAAAAAAAAAGTGATGAAAGATGAGAAGGGATATTTGCAAATTATGCTATCCAAAAGGAGTATAAATTAAAGATTTTGTCTAAATTCTCTCATTCTAGAGAATTTCTAAGAACTTTTATCATAACACATGAAAAGAACAATTCACACACAATGGTGCAGCCCATCCCAGAAGAAACCAGACTTTGAATTATTACCTGAACAGTTACCTTGCAGCTTTAGAATAGACATAATGATCTTTTCAAGTAAAAATACACTATTTCTGCAAGACGCACCTTATGAGTTTACAATTCTTTGTAGGTCAATTAGAAATTGGCACCTTCAGAGGCAGAAAGCAACTACACTGCAAGAGAGCTGACTCGGTAATGAACCAAAACAAAGTCTGGCACTTGATGAATAACCTAACACCACTGATTTTTCACAGCACTCAGCCTTGGAAGACTGTCTGTTTACACAGTAGTGAGCCCAACATCACTTGGCTGGCCAGAATGAAATAATAAAAGCCTAAAATGGCACGGTGTAAATTTTAACAGTATTTGTATTCTGCACTGCAAGAATTTTGTACTCTAAACCCACCTTTTTTTGTAAACTGTTGAATAAAACAAACCCAAAAGTCATACTTACTCCTCTTTCTTGATTTCACTCCCAGGTAACAGCTTGACGTAAGATTTTGGAAACCAACCCCTTCCTCCATGTACCTCTCCAAACCACCAGTTTTCCTGCTGCTCCAGGACAGTAATGATATCATTTTTTGAAAAATTCAAGTGGTTATCTTTTTTTGCAGTCCAAGAGCAAAGTGCTTGTGCTTTTAAGTTCTCGACAGGTTGCCCCTGTTAAGACAGAAGTGGAGATGTTGATCGACCACACTATCCCAAATTGGTGCAAGTGTTAAAAAAACCCAACCAGCCATCCAGTGACGTCTCTTTTAACTGCAATCTAAGCAATTTCATTCCTAAGTGTTGGCTGAATAATTTGTTGTCTGGTCAACAACATTCTACATTGCTGTATACAACCTGTTGACTCAGGAACAATCTCTCAACTTTCTTTCTTATTTGCTAGAAATATCTTGTGTCTAATTACAGGTGAAAATTATTATAGAATTAAGAAACATACTGCGTGAGTCTCCTCACTCACTGGTCCATGGAAACGCATGGAATTATGTCAATGCACACTAGTGGAGAATTCAGACTAGTTTCTTTATCCTCTAGACTGTTCGGTGCACCCAGTATTAGACAAGCTGTGGTTTCATCTGGTTTTGTTTGTTTGTTTTTTAAAATAAGTTTAATCAATGTCAATTTAATATACAGCAAGTTCTCCATACCTGTCCATGAATGGGTGAAACAGATCCAGGGGACACAGTGCGAGTAAAAGCTGATTTCTGTTGCCATGCTGTGTTAACATTCAGGCTAGAAAAAGGTATGTTTTGGTAATCAGATTCTTCTGTGGATTTACTCGGTGAAAGTGGTCTGCAAATTGAATACAGGCATGTTTAACACACCACAATTTTTATTTCAAAAGTACCTCAAGCAGAATCACTTTTGTTTTAACATATATAAAACAGATATTCTACACAATGCGAAGCAGACTATCAAATACTTAAAATTTACAAGCCAAGACTTTCAGGTAGGTTCTTCAATAAGTTTTCTGCATTTATATTTTAAAAACGAACACCGAATGAAACTATACAGCACATTATGTGTTAGCTAAACTTAGAAAAAGCAATTTTAACACAAACATAACGAAAACTCACTCTGAAGCAGCTGAGGTAGTAGATAAAGATACTGTAGGAGGAAGTAAGGCCTTCTTAGGAGATAAAGATTTTTCTCCTTCTGGTATTTTTTCTACATAATTGCATGGAAACCAACCAAAATGTCCTTGAAAACTCCCATATAACCAACCAGGCTCTCCCACAGTTTTTTCATCAACCTATGGACAGGAGGACAAATACAAAGAAAACGCAATTAGCAGCATGAAACAAACAGGGTATTTAGTGCATCAGCACCTGCTGGCACTCTGAATTGAACAGCGTGAGCAGCACTCACACAAGGATCAGCATTTCCCTTTCAGAATTGTGTTGATTTTGCCCTGTTGAAGAAACAGGGTGATGATGCAATTGCACTGTTTTTAGACACAGGTAGAGACAGGCCTCAAAGACATTATATTCCTTCAAATGGGCCCCAACCATGCACACTGGGGACCGTGTACTATGCCTGGAGCCGTTCTGGCTTGCCAAAAATTTAGTGCATTGTGTTGTATTTTATTGAATGTGCAGCCAAGAGGCAGCGGCTGGCGAGCCCAGCAGTGCATGAAAACAACTGCTGCAGTTCTGCTTACAGATACAATTGTCGTTTGACTGCATCCAAAACATGTCCAAAAATTCTGTTATGCACTATACGATTAAGCATAGACTAGAACCATAGAATCACTTAGGCTGGAAAAGACCTTTAAGATCATCAAGTCCAACCATTAACCTAACACTGCCAAGTCCACCACTAAACCATGTCCCTAAGCACCACATCTACACGTCTTTTAAATACCTCCAGGGATGGTGACTCCACCACTTCCCTGGGCAGCCTGGTCCAATGCTTGACAACCCTTTCAGTGAAGAAATTTTTCCCAATATCCAATCTAAACCTCCCCTGGCGCAACTTGAGGACGGTTCCTCTTGTCCTATCGCTTGTTACTTGAGAGAAGAGACCGGCACCCAGCCAACAGCATCCTTAAACATTCATAGCAATATTGAAGTCTCCATTATGCTGCAAATTAGCAAATTAGTCAAAATTAGCTTAAAATTAGCAGCTCATCAAATACCATCAGCTAGTTAGCTTAGTTGAGGTTTGGGGTATAAGAGGAGAAGGAGGAGGAGGAGGCGGCAGCTGTTAGCCTATTTCTAAAATAAGTTATCAGTAGGTAAATGACACAGTTAATTATATCTGAGAAGGAAGCCAAAACAAAACCTACTTCTCTGTTCCCTCTTCCATGCTTCACTGGTATGAAAATGCAAATAAATGATTTAACACTGTCAAACTGAAGGCTAATACTTAAGTGTTTTAATATTTTGTACCACATTGCTTTGTAAATTCTCCCTTATCACCTACCTCACACTTGTAATCTGAACGAGGAGGAACCATATGGACTTATGTATTAGAAACATATATATTAATTGTATTACCACAGTTGTAAATCAGTTTTCAAAAGTCCACCCGAATGCACATGCTTTCAAAAACGTGTATGCTGCCAAGTGTTAAAATTACATGAAGTAACACAGATTTCAACTGAGAAGCCAGAAGACATTTCCAATCTTATGGTCCTGCTGTAACATTATAGATAGCATGTTCAGCTGAATCCAGAGAAGTGCTACAAAGAATGGACACAGAATAAACTACTATAGATATCTGCCTGAAGGAGCATTTACCACAGACCAGCCAATAAGAGGCAGAAGACTATGCTAAGAATACATTAGAAAATGCTATTAAGATTCAGAAGAACCTTTCACATCTACTCGTTAAATAATTAGTTTGTTTAATTTGAATTGAAATGGCATTAATAATTTTTGTCATTTTATGTAGCCATCCATGTCTCTATTTTCTACACTCGTATTTCAAGTAGACACTTAAAGGCCAACCTGTACACTACGATGAACTGCAGCAACTACATCATTCCTGATTAACTGATTTCAGAAAGTTTATGTTTAGAGTTCACTATTGTTATTCTAAACAGATTCTCAACACCTCTAGGATGTGCAAGATCCAAAGAAAGGTTTTAGCTGAACTAATCCTAATTTCACCCGTTAAAAAACAAACAAACAAAAAAAACCCCAACCAAATTTAAATTTTGAGTAAGTCTTAAAATATATCAAAATAATGCTTTTGACACTTAAGACCCTGGTGTATCTCAAGGCTGGGGATGCGGGGTTGGGTTTTTGCAAGGTAAATGTCAATAGCAAATCTTACCTGAATTATATCCCCAGTATTAAAGCTCATCTCATCGTGATTCCTTGCTTCAAACGGATATAAAGCTCTGTAATTTACCAAGGCAACTGAATTCCTAGACTCTGAGACGCTAACTGCATTGCCTGAAAAGATAAGGCAACTAGTTACCATTTTGATACAGCTGAAAGACACCCACTTAGTTGGAGCCCCACCATTCTAAGCATCAGGTATGAATATAAGAAAAGAACTGTTCTTGCCCCAAAGACACTATGCAAGTATCAAAGGAGATCACTAGCTACAACAGGCTGATAGGATGCATACGATGCTAATCATAGTAAACGCAACACAGGCAATAAAATGCATTGTCTTCTGAAGTGAAAAAATGACATCTTTACGTTCTCATCTTTCCTTGTCAAAGCGCTCTGGCTAAGCCAGTGCTTTAATATAGTCTTGTTTAACACAATTATAATTTTCCAAGTTGAAAAGATACCACTGCTACTGGCAGTGAGGATTTTACTTAGAAACCTAAAATACCACAATTTCTATTTTCTTTGTATCTATGTTCTCCAAGTCTGCGACTGATGTTGCTAACAGTGAATGTTTTACAAGGTATAGTTGAGGTGTGCAAATACCTTTCAGTGCTGCTCTAATTTGGTTCTTGCTGAACTCAGTGATAAAAGTGGCTAATAAAAAACGACAAGAACTAATGAAAGATGGAACTAATCAAAACTGCCTTTAGCGAAAATATTGTTAAACTAGTATTTTAGTTAGGTTGACTTCAGTTCTTTGCTTTTTAATAAGAGGCATTGAATAACGCATTGAGTAATGCAGAAACAAACTAGATTTCAACGTTAATAAATCACTTCGCTGAGCGTTACCTGCCCCTCCACTCATCATTGCACAAACTCCTCCATATTAGCATTCTGCTTTAATGACAGAAAGTGCAGGCCAAAAAAGCTAAAGTATTACTGTTTTCAGCATCTGTGATTTGTCGGCCGTGATCACTGGAAGATTTGTCATCAGAAACATAGGTCCTGAACACTGACAGAAGTAACCTAAGTTAACAGGATGATTTATAACTAACTAAAGACATGGAACATTGCTGGGGTTTTTTTAAATAATATTTTAGACAATAAGCCTGCCATAGTGTCACATTAACAATAATATATTTAAAGAATGAAATGATGCTCAGGAAAATAAGAACCATTAAAGCAAAAATCTAACAGACCAAGATTACCTTCATTTTTCCAGGGTGGCTTAAGACTTTTACCTTCTGTTGGTTTCAACAGATCTGCAAACTTCTCATTTGTGTTTAATTTAGAAGTGCGTTTCTCCACCTCTTGAGAGTTGGTCGCTTCTTTTACCTTCTTTATTTCTTCGTTCTGCTTACGCCTCTCCTCAGCTTCTTTTGCAATTTGTTCTTGCTTTCTTTTATCTTCTTCCAGTTGCCTCTGCCTTTGTTGTTCTGTTTCCCTCAAGATCGTGGCTTGCCTATTTTTCTCCTCCTCTGAACAAAGCTGTTGTTTATTTTCCCTTTCTCTCATCAGAGCAACTGCTTCTTCAGCTTTCAGCTTTTCTTGAACTTTTTCCTGCATTCGTTCTTCCTCCAATCGCTTCTTTTTCTCTTCCTCTTCCCTTCGGATATTTTCCTGCCACCGGTTCTCTTTCTCCCGTTTTGCTTTTCTGAAAGAAAAGAATGAGAGAGGAGTGAGAGAACATTCAGATAAAACCGAATGAGATCATGTTCACAGAGTAATCGACTGCACTTTTAAGTAAAATTGATATCAACTATGATATCAACTGCTTTTCTCTCTGGGCAATAAGCTCTTCCACAGAAGATCGTGCTTCATCTTAACATGAGTGCCAGTATATTTCGCATATAAATAACAAATGGATTAGAATTCTTGGTATAGAAACACTGCCACATGGTTGCTTGTGCAGTGCCTCCACAAGCACTTCTGCTCACCTACATCCCTGATGAGCAAGAAGTGATCTGTTAATTGAACAAGGGTGGTTTTAAGCTGTCCACCAAGGTAGTATCCAAATCTCACGATCAGAAACTAAGCTTTTCAAACAGACTAATAACAAAATTTCAGTCTGGTACATACATAAAAATAGCTTTTGCATACTGATCCTTGCTGCTTTAATTTTTTGCCTTCAACAGTTGTAATCTATTCAATACACTTATCCCCGCCACTGCCACACTCTTCACCAGACAGAATCTGGAAATCTGACTGTATTCTCTGAAATTATTCAGATTTTACCCTGTGCCTCATCTCTCCAAAGAGGTTATTATCCAATTCAACACCCTTAAAAATCATTGTATTTCAGCTGTCGAGACCTTTCTTCTGAAAAGAGCAGACCTAACCCTTTGGGCCACCTTCTGAAGAGGTTGTTGAGGAAGGACCACGCCTAGACGAGACTGCTTCATCAAATCACTGTGGGAGGTCCACTAATCTGATGGTCATTTTATTGTGTTTTCAAGCACGTGACAGGATCTGGTAGAGCTGTGCAGTAATATTGTTACCCTATCAGATAGCTATATTCAACAGAAAAATTAACGGGACATCATTATACACGTGGCATATGGTTCTCTTAACGGGACTGTCACAAATGTTACGAGACTCCATCACAATGTTGTAGAAAAATGCTGTTGTGAGTTAAGACCATGAATCACACATACTACAAGGTCACTAGCTCTGCTTCATTAAAAACAGTCAAAACAAATATGAATCACTGAAAAAGAAAATCTCTCTCAAATTAAAAAGACAAACCAGAGCAATTCTCTGAATGAGAAGTCAAAACTAGTACACCAAAGCAACTCCAGAGCTGAGGACTGGCCCACTGAGAGCGCCCATCCACCCCCTCTCTGGTACTGTTTCAATCCAGGGCTGCTAAGCTCAAAACAGGCAGCTGATAGCAGAAGGTCTGGAGAGAGGGCATCTTGAGACAGCCAGAATCAAACCCTAGAAACTATGGTTTCTTAATCAGTGAAACAAAGGAAAACAAAACTAATTGAGAACAAGACCGTGAGAAACCAAGAGCTCAGAACAGTAGAAATTTGAGTGCTTGATATAAGGCTGGGCTGAGCAAAACCAGGACCATATACGTGAAGGGACGATCCCCTCAGACATGTATTTGAGTTTTTTCATTGTCCTCTTAAAAAGGGAACCAAATTTAAAACTCAAAGCTTGCTCACTTGTCCAGCTTCCAAGATTAACATAGGAATTAAGCAGTCAATGCCCTTCCTATTGTCTTAAGTATCAATCTCACAATTGTCTGGATATACGTGATAAAAAACTAGTACCTACTCAGTCAGAAGTGCTTTTAAGAAAATAGGTCAGATCTTTTGAAGGCCAGCAACACACGGCAGAAAACAAGGAATTTTAAACGTGTGAGGATTATATATTAAAGGAGCTAAAAATCTTATTAGCAAAAGTGACTACATGGTTTATCTGAATTATAAGGTGTGTTTTGTTTTTTTTTAAAGAAGATAAAAACAGATTGGAAAGAGGAAATTCAAACCATCTTGTATCAGTGGTACTCCATATAAAACATTTTCTCTGAGGCAACTCACTAGGATATATTTTTACTGATTAAACCTCCTGCTTATTACAGTCAGTGTCTTAAAGTCACCACAGCATTCTTTTGCTTTAAAAACTGCAACGCTGATACGTTCAGACATGGTACCTTGCAGCCTCATCTTCCAGTCGCTTTTTCTGTGCAAGTTCAGTTCTTCTTTTTTCTACCTCTCTTATTTTGTCCTGTTTGATCCTGTGGAGCTGCTCCAAGGCTAACTGCTGTGTACTGTAACTTTCTCTCAAGTCCTAATGAGAAAAGACAACAAAGTACGTCAAAAGGAATAAAGCCAATCGTTCGAGAAAAGCATCCAGGCATTTTAATGCTTTGTGAACCAGGTTTTAATACAAATGGACAAAGTAATATTAAGTCATTAATAGTCCTTGGAGGTCACTGTAAAGAAAGTCAAATAAACAGACGTAGAAGCATAAAAGTAGCTGGCAGGTTTGCAAAGCCTTTGACGTAACTTAGGCTTTCCAAGAGCACTTCCAGTCATGCACCTGTTCGAAATGGCAAATATGACAGAGGAGAAGGGAAGATATAAAACTGAGTGTTCAAACACAATATTATCTAAGGACACAGAAGGCAATGAAACATATTTTGAATAACTACAAGACACATTTGCCGAGGAGGCAGACTTCAACTGAAAGCCAACACAATACCATAAACCTGAGAACGCATCCCTTCAGTAGGGTGTTCGCCTTTGTGATGCTGTCTGAATGACTAGTCCCATATTTAAATCAGAAAAACTTTATAAAAATATCCTGCAAGCTTACCACTGTGGGAAGCCATAGCTTAAAGACACTAACTCAGACTGGAGTTTTCCTATTGTTTGTAAACTTCACAATTTTGCTCTTTTTCTTTCGAACACATCCTTCAATTCCTGTTTCATCTCTCTCTCATAACAAACTTTTTCACAGCAGAAAATCAGCATGAATCTTTGGGATAATTAAATTTACAGAAGAAAAATAATCAACAATAGAATTAATTTAGATTGTACTTCACCATGTTACAAAACATCTGTAAGATACTACATTATTTTTTCTTAGGAATTCTATTGATACAGACTGAGCAATGCAACAGGTATACCCTGACTTTTCATATCTGATCTCATAAATGCAAATAAAGCAATTAAGAGTGATCTGTTCCCACTACAATATGCACCTCTACCAACAATCATGTTGCCTAAGAGATACTGCGTAATTTACATGAAAAGGGCAAGATAACAAGATTTCTGTCAGTGAAAGTCTCTGTAGCAACAAACTAAACCAAACAATTGACTACTATTTTTCCCTTAACATATTCAGCTGAGAACACTTTTTCTTCTCATTTTGCATAGAAATTGAGGATCGCTATGGAAACAAAATTGCATTACAGAAACTCTTGTATTTTGATTTAAGGAAGAATAACCCTTATGTAAAATGGAAAGGTCAGTTAAGTAATTCTGAGCATAATTTGCAGGGGGCGGGGAGGGGGAGAATAAAAAAATCAAAAGTTAGATTTCTGACCCCAGCAGACAAAAGCAGTGTTGAGAAAAAACAGCAAGTAGGTTTTAGTATTGGGTTAATCTGGAGGCTTAATAGCATTGCGTTTGCCATATCATATGTCATATTCTGGGCATTGATGCTACTTCTAGACTCAAACTCGAATGAGAATTCATTAACCTGACTCACAGCTTAAGATGTATGGATACAGGCATAGCGAGACAGGTAGAGAGCAACAGGTGGAAAGGTGGGAGAAGACACTGTTTCCATCTAAGACAGTATTTTTTTGGTTGATGTTACTTTAACTAAAAATAAAAGTATCTGGGTAAAACAACTTAGTGAACATAGCCTGTTAAGAAATAAAATGGCTATCAGTATTTTGCAGTTCAGCTTTCTAAGCAGGTAAGAAAATGTTAAGTCTTTAAGAGGATATAAAAGCTAGCAGAAAGAAAAGGAGTCTATTGATTTTATTTTATTTATTTAAATTTATTTAACAGAAGTTGTACATCCAAACAGAAAGGGTAAGCAGAGAAAAATTGCGAAATAATTAAAAACCAAAAGAGCCAAAGATTAGAAAATAACCTTAAGTAAGAGGAAGAGGTGGTTGAGACAGCTTAGCAGAGACAAAAGGCACTGAAGAACAGAATCATCCATATTCTCACACTGTAAGATAAGGCAGATAAAAAGCCAATTAATCTTTGCACTGTATTTTGAAAAACATATTTTAGGGAAGACTAAATGGTGGATTCAGCCACTGAACACAGCAAGCCATGCAATAAACAAGTAACTAAAAATCCTTGTCTTAAACGTTTACAAATTTTGCTCTTGCATTCTTTTTATTGGAGAGTGCAGAGCCCTCACGTTGGCCCAGCATAAATCCATTACTTAAGAATAAAGTTCACATCAGTGCCTCTAGGAGTAAGCTGGTAAATAAAGTTAAGTGGATGCATGCTACCCTATCTGAGAGTTGCATGCGTTTTTAGGCGAGTCAAGAGTTGCCTCTGCAACAAAAAGGCCTTCAGGGCCAGTGGTCGATATTTCTTAACTTCTACACAAATAACTGGTCTATGCTTACTTTCAGGACGATATCGAAGTCTGCTAGCAGATCTTGTACAATGTGCTACAAACCCCTGTATTCTTTCAATAGAAGTTAAATGTTCAGTCCACAATTCAAAAATAGTAGCCAATATAACCTCAGTACTGTAAGAACAGAATTTGCAAGGGCCTGAAAAACTTCAATTCTAAATCAAAATAAATTCTAGAAGGCAAAAGTTGAGTGAGCAACAGTTGATTCATGCAAAGCAATGATTAGCAGGAAGTTCATATTTTAGTACGTTAGCAATAGTTTTAAATGCATTTTTATTGCACTATTTACTCCAAGACTTTTGCTAGTTCTTATTTGACATGGAAAGCTGGAAGAAGCTTTTTGGGAGCCTGGTAGAAGTGCCACCAATCTTTATGACTGGATGAAGAAATAAAGATACTGCTTACCAGTTTAAGACTAAGTATTTAGAGAACAGATGTACCTTAAGCTGACTGTTAAATGCAGCCATTTCAGCAAGTTTAGAAGCAGTTTCTTTCTCAAGGGCATCTAGTTGTTCCTTAAGTCTTTGGCATAATTCTTCCTTTTCTAGGGACTTTTTGTGCACTGAACCGATTCCTGTACCTGTGTAAGGAAAGACAAGCAATTTTACAAGGATTTATCGTTTCACTAATTATTTTATTATTTTTCCTAATATACACACAGTCCCAACCTCTTTCCTCACAAAAATTCCTTGATTTACCTTTCTATTCCCATACAGCACAAAGTGGGCCCAACACCTAACTGGGACACAGAGGCATGACATGTAATACATAGAGAATAAATTGCAAGTTGGTTTTTAATATCAGACCAATTCATAGCAAACTTCTTTAGCTAGGGACTTCTAGTGTGATTTGATGTAAAGACTAGTGGAAATTTTACATAAATTAACTCCCTTGAGTTTACACTACCAAAAAAAGACAAGGTGTAATAATATCTGTGGGCTGCGTAGTCTGTATAAATAGAGTTTCAAGCAAAATCTGTGCTTTCTCGTGAAAATGTGTTTGCCCCTTATTTAGAACATGAAGGAAATAATGAAATGCAGATGAAACAATGCTACAATGGCACTAACTGAAAAGATGTAAAAGTGAAGGTGTGATTAACACCTCTGTATCCTTCAGCCTTTTTTACAAGTGATGAAAAGCCATCAAAGCAAACAGAAGAGAATTCATTCGCAGGCACTTACTCTGAGTGTTTTCAAGTTGAGCGTTTTTAATTCTTTCACTTAACAATTGCTTTTCAGGAACTAAATAGATTAGTTTATTCTGATACTCCTGTAGATATTAAAGAGAACATAACAAATTTTTAGTATTGTTTATAAACAGTAAGTAAAAATGGGTGAATTTTCACACATAAATTCAACTCATGTTAATGAAATGTGGATGCAAGTCATCATTATGGGGTAGAGGAAAAAATGACTTCTATACTCTCAATATAAATACTATTGAAACTGAATGTTTTTTGACCCAAAAGCATTTAAACACAGCTTGGAAAAAAAAAATGAACAGACATGCTAAAAGTGTAAATATTATCATGAGAACATTTGACTGCCCCAAGCCCAAACAGTAACTTTCTGTGACACACAGGAACATGAAAAGAAGTTTCCCTGATGTGCAGGAGCATTACATAAAAATATAGTACAGGATGATTTATGGTAGTCAACTGATTTGAAATAATTCATGTCTTGCTACTCAAAGAGAGGAAAAAAAGAAAAAAGAGCAGCGAGATAATTCAGCCCTAAGACCAACTTGCTCTGCATACAGGAAAACATTCCTCATAAAAATTTGAGTCTGGAGCCACAAAAGAACTCACAATTAAAGAGAAGTCACTATTATTGGTTCATAAAATAATAGCTGAGGCTGTGACAACGGTCCTCATTCAACTATCAGCTTGTTGTAGCACATGTAATCATTTCTTTACCACCACAAATAAAACTAAAAACCTCTGCAATGTTGACAGCCTTGCCGACTTCCTCTCTCCGCTATAATCAAACTGATTGACTATTCCTCCCTATGGGGATGTATTATCAACAGCATCACAGAAACACAGAATAGGTAGTAAAGGAAAACTACAAGCTTAACAGAAAGTTATATACCTGAAGCTGTTGTTGTAGTTGCTTAACTTCCATGATTCCTTGGTCATATTTCTTATCTAAAACCTCCAGCTCAGTTTTTCGAATTTGCTTTTTGCTTCGAACATCTTGCAATCTGCCTGAGATTTGCTGATGTTTGTCCGTCTAGAAAGAAATCGAAGACAAATTATACCATATACTGCAAAAAACGCTTCTGCACTAAACCTGTTGGCAGTTTAGTTCATTATCGATTTTTTAAAACAACCCAAAATACCTGCTTTAGATTGCTCATTCAAAATAGAGTGAAACTCCTACTGGGCCATTAATGTAGCTTCTAAGATTTGCATACTTTAAAATACTGTATTTCAAGATGCATAGTGAAATTTCTGTCTTACCAGGGCTTCTAATTCAAGATTAAGGCTCTTCTTTTTAGAGGTCAACTTGACAATTTCTTCTTGTTCCCTGTTACGTTGATTAAGAAGTTCTTGGCGACGAATTCTCTCCCATTCCAATCGTCGCTGGCGCTCAAGTTCTTGCTTTGCTGCCTGCAGAAAAGTTACATTATCTTAAATTACAATGGAGATGCAGAACTCAAGAGACCATGGTTGAATATAATGTGCTCTATTTCTAAATAGCATAACAGCAACACAACATATTGTCTTCTGTAACGTGCTCTTACATACTTCAGCATCAAAGAACAGAGGATGTGATCCCGTAACCATGCTCCTAACTCTGGATGAAGAAAAGCTACATAATTCAGAGAGAAAGTCTGTTTGACTTTCTTAGAAATAAGCTCTTAGAATACTGCTTATTATATTATACTTATTATACTTAGAATAAACGAGCATGTTGACAGACAGAACTCATAACCTCCTGTGAGTATTTCACAGAACTACATAAAACATGCAAGTCATGCATGCACTGAGACACCAATAGAAGCACATTTGTCTCAAGTTCAACTGTCAAAATGTTACCAATTATGAATTCAGTACAATCTTATCTGGTATACAGATTTTTGCATAAATCCAAGAAACCTGTCCAAGAAAATCCCATCTGTCCTATGCAGTATCTGAAAATCTTCAACCTGTACCACTTGATTCATTTATAACAGACACAATGATTTCAGAGAGAAACGATGTTCTCTCTCCAAGACAACCTGCCAGTGTCCATGCGAGGAGACAGAATCAAAGCCAGCATTCAAATCCTGAATGCTCTGTCAAGTGGATACTTTATGCATGTACATATACATTAAAGCATTAAAAAATAATTTCAAGAAAACAACCTCCCGCCTTTCTATTTCTTTCCTCCTTTCTTCTTCCCTTTGTCTTTCCAACTCTCGCTGTCTCTCCAGCTGCCTTTCCATTTCGAGTTGTTTTTTCCGTTCCTGTTCCTGGCGTTCCCTCTCTCTTCGCTCTTGTTCTTCTCTTTCTTTCTGAGCCTTACGTTCAGCCTCTCTCTGCTGCTGCTCCAACAGGACCTGACGGCGTTTTTCCAGCTCCATATTTCCCCTCTCATAGTTTGCTTTCCTTTTGTCCTCAAATGTCACTAAAATAAGGAAAGGTAGTTATTTCTGTCCTGTGCAAAACATTGCTCTCAAACAAGTACCTCAGTTATGCCACTAAAGATAGATAACTTTCTTTTTGGCAAGCTCAGGTTGTTGGGTCATGGATGATATAAGCATCTTGCATTTGTTAAAGTATTATTTTTCTCTTCCAAAATACCTTTAAGTTTTCCTAAGTCTATTCCAATTGCAAAAAAGATGTTGTAACTTAAAACTGACCACAAAAATGACTTGAATTTGAGAGGAAACATAAAAGAACAGCTTTTATAAGCTAGGAGAAGACTATCTTCTGTTAAAAAGGTTTTCCACTGTGCAAGAAACATTAACACACAGAGAAAGAGCTTAGTTTTTAAGGGTGTTCCCTGTAAGAGCTCCTGGAGTTAAAAACAGCAAAAACCAAAACAGGATCAAGCTCAATTACTGCAGTATAGGACAAGAAGAGATACAAAGAAATGGTTTAGCCTCCCAGCAACCACCCTTCCAAAAAGAAAGGCAAGTCGTGTCTCGCAGTGTGCATGTAAGAGACCATTAGAATCCCTTGTTTTCAAAATGTCCAAAACAAAGTAATGCCAGGAACTTTCAACTGAAAAAAGTTTGCAGGTAAGAGACCTTTGCTGGTAGCATCAGGGAGTCAATAGTAGAATCTACGTTATGTGCAAATTGCATCTAGTTTTCAGAGAATTAAACTACATTAGAATCCCTTGTTTTCAAAATGTCCAAAACAAAGTAATGCCAGGAACTTTCAACTGAAAAAAAGTTTGCAGTAGCATAGCAGTATTTGGCCATGAAGGATTTCTTTTCCAAAATACATTATTAATCAGCACACTTTTCCTTTCCTACAGCTAAAAATAGCCCCTATCTCTGCCTTCTCAATTCTATTAGATGTAATAGGCTGACTACATCCACTTAACAACCTTCCTACCATCCAAGTTAAAAGGGATCTAGCTCCTGAAATGAAGCTCCCTAGGGATACGATTATGTCTTCCACTTTCTAAAGGTTTCAGTGCCCTTCAAAGACAGCCCTATACATTAAGAATGGGAACGGTATTTTACCTGGCTGTTTTTTCTGTGGCTCCTCCTCTTGCATAGGCTGGTAAGATGGCAGAGTTCCATTTATATTTTCAGTATATTTTCCACTCCTGGAGGGAAAAAGAGCCCACCATTGTTAGAGAAACAACACGGTTATTTTCCTTGTCTAAAACACTTCCATTGAAAAGATATTATGTTTCACTGCCCTCAGCAATATACCTGAAGGAAGGTGGGACCAGTTCAAGAGGCAGAGTTAGTGGCAGAGGTTGTCCGGCTTTGGCCATATCAGTTAGGTGCATGGCTAACACAAACTCATCGGCTTTCAGCTGTCCGTCTCCATCAATATCAGCTAATGACCTGCACAGTTTTAACAGCAATAATAATTAGAACCAAACATCACAATCACTCACAAATGATAGCTGAAACAATTTACTGTAAAAATAATTTTTAAAATAGAGAATTCCTGTGAAATGTTCTGGTAAAACTAATTACAATTAACAACATGAATAGTTGATAAAAGGAGATATTATTTTGTTTAATAATGTACTGCTATTCAGATGTTTTCGTAAAATATGGCAAAAAGGATAGGAAAGGTTAAGAGACATCTCTTAATTTATTGCAACACCAAGAGAAGAGCTGGAAAGAGAATCCAGGACTTCTTAACCAGCTCAAAATGCTAGAAACCACTTTTTCTTTTTTAAAGCAAAAGAAAACATTATATAAAACTACATCAAATTCTACAACAGGAACCTTCGCGTAGAATTCTTTTTTCCCCTTCTTTCTTCTCGATAGTGCAGGGAAGACGTGAGCTGCCCCAGAGTACCTTGCAATGGGTGGGAAAAGGATCACCTGCCCCCTCTAAGGAGAAGGCAAACCACACAATCCATCATCAAGGGAACTTTGTGGTTGGTGTCTACTGCAGGCTGCCGGATCAAGGGGAGCCTATTGACGAAGCCTTCTTACTCCAGCTACAGGAGGCATCGCACCTGCAGGCTCTCGTCCTGTTGGGGGACTTCAACCACCCCGACATCTTCTGGAAAAGTAGCACGTTGAGCTGTAGGCAATCCAGGAGACTCCTGGAATGCATTGAGGATAACTTCTTAAGCCAGGTAACAGACAGCCCTACCAGAGGGGATGCGATACTGGACCTGATGGTCACCAATGCGAGTGAGCTAATCAGCGACGTCAAGACTGGAGGCAGCCTGGGCTGCCACCACTGCACTGGCAGTCCTGAGGGATATGGGTCTGGTGAAGAGGAAAGGCAG